CACAAACATTGAAAATGAATAAATGAGTTGTGCCGGAATCATATAGTACATTTAAAGTTTTTTCTTTAATGAAACACATACCTTGGATCAAATCATTATTCTGAGAGGCTGCAGTTCCATTCATGGTATACACTCTTCCTATTGTCGGAGGTCTTCTTTTTGGTGCAAAAAGATCAGAATTTGGTTTTTGTTGTCTACATTCAGAAAATATATGACCAGGTTTTCCACACTTGAAACAGACAGGTCCTTTAAGATGACAATCTTTAATATAATGATCTTGTCCACACTTAAAACACTTGAGTTGATTATTTATACGGTTATTAAAATTTCCTACAAAAAGTTGACTGGGTTGGGATCTCCATTAGGGGAGGTTATGGGTTTTCCTTCATTTTGTCTCTTTTTATTTTGTTGGGGTCCAAAATATTTTGGTTTATTATTTTGATGATTTTTGAAGTCTTCCAAAAATCTGCACTTATGAATAAGCGTAAGAAAATCAGAAATTTTCTAGTATTCCTATTGCTTTTCTCAATTCAGGCTTAAGTCTATTCTCAAATTTTATACAATTCATTCTTTCATCAGGGTACTAAAAGAATGCAGAGTATTTTCCTAACTCTTCAAACTTAGAGGCATATTCTCCTACTGTCATATCTCCTTGCTTTAATTGCATAAACTTTATTTCTTTTGCCCTCCTCACATCATTGGGAAAATATTTTTCTAAAAATTTTGTTCTAAACACCTCCAAAGTAATAATTATTCTTCCTCCTTCTAGTAATCTCCTGGTACTATCCCACCAATTATTTTTTCCAATTATTTAATTCATAATTCAATCTTTACTGGGTTATAACCTCTAGAAAATTACGAAGGTTTGTTTCTCCTAAATTCAACTAAATTTTGCCATCTATTGGTTCCTTCAGGTCTTTGGTTCCTTAATAATGCAGCGGTCATTTCTCAGATAGCTTGTACCGCTTCTGTCAACTCATTGTTCCTTCTATTATTTGTCACCTGGAATTGTATAAGCTAGGATTCATAAGATATTTTGATAGGCTCATTTCACAGGTCACACATGAAACGTGGCTCTGATACCATCTAATGTGACGTCCTTTT